GAAGATGCTACTGAGAAGGTTAGAAACCTTTGGTATGAGCTTCAAGGCTTCCTCCCTCCATTGCTGTCCCCTAAACTTCCACTCACCCAAAATATACACTCATAGCAATGCACTGAAGCACTTGCTTTGACAAGCATACCAAAGTGAAAACACTGCCTCAATTCTCCTTTATGCTAATTCTGTTAGACAAGTACAAAGAAGTTCTCTTTGTGACCCTGAGGCACTGTTTCCTGAAATATATCTTCCTTTATATTCTCACTCCCCAAACCAGACTCAAGATTAAATCCATCAGGCATTAGATGAAAAGCAAATGAAAATGATACGCTTTATATTGAACTAAGTGTCATGATTTCTCACTTCTGAAAACCCAGAGTTCATAATGGGACCAAACTTATCTGCCTGATTCTTATACATTAAGAGGAATTATTCCCGGCAGGTCCTTCAGTTTTAAGAATAAATGGGATTTGGGAGACACATCCAAACAATTTACTAAATTTGTTTAAAATGACATAACCCTAACAATATGCCCAGCTTTACCCTTAACTATTTACCTCATTTATCAATAAGTAAATTAATACATACATACATACAGACATACATACAGACATATATAACACAAATTTTAAAAAAATATATCTTATTTACTGATTAATATCTCCTTTTGTCTCTGTCTTTCTCATTTTCTGCTGGGGATCTACATATCCAGGGACCTGGTGTCAACACAGATTTCTGTAGCAATTGGTACGAGTCCTCTTATATCTGAGGACACTGTAAAAAGATGAACTGTGGGGTGACCGGTTGCTCAGTTGGTTAGAGCATCATGCTAATAATACCAAGGTTTCTGGTTTGATCCCCTCATGGGTCACTGTGAGTTTCGCCTACCTTAAAAGAGTCAACTATGCCATTGTAGCAAGAAAGCAATGTGTAAACAATGACCATGGCTGGTCCCCAATAAAATTAAAAAAAAAAAAAAGATGAACTACTGGCATGCTTGTGGTTCAGAGTCAGAAGTATGCTTTCAGACCCTCTAGATTCTATCTCCTATGAAATATTATGAAGGGCACAAACAAAATATTGCACTCACAGGTGAAGTGTTTGTATCAGCATCTATTAATATTTCATTATGACTTCCGGACCTTCCCCATTTGACCTCAACATGTTATTAATCAATTTTCCAGAACTCATTTAAACAAACATTCCACTATTGTCAGGCTATGTCTTGTATCCTATCTGCTTGGTATCTTTTTTCCCTTTATTTCTTTCATTTTTTTAAATCTTCAATCTATAAACTCACTTTTCTCAAGGTTCTGCAGATGATTCATTTTCCCATGAACCCTGACATAGCAAACTTAATCCTCTGTGGTATTTCACATTCCTTTTAGTAAGTAATTGGTATACACATTTGATACTTGACATTGAGATAGAGTCTATTTTTACTGTTTGCTAGGTTTTATTCTGCATATATTTTTTCTTCCCAACTGTACTGCTATTGTAAGTGCTTTGAAATAAGGGGAGAATTCTCAAATTTAAGTGTTGTATACTAGTATACAGTAAGTTCTATGTTAAAAAAATTACTGGCTGGTAGTTTATATTTTAATATGCTGATGACACTATTTTGCTCTGTATAATTTATAAACATTGTTTCATAAGTATTCCTTATCTAATAAAGTTTGATACTACAACAATAGCTTAATTAAAAACTCCTTTAGTATTTGAATCCAAGTATTGGATTATTTACACCAAAACATTATTAGAACAAAAATTCAAAGTTGGTAACTCAAATTCAGTAAAATAACCATACACAATTTGATATTGTGTGTCTTAATAGTTTTGGCGATGATTAAAATTAAATTTTATAAGCATAGCATGAGTCATTTAGTGAAATTAATGTATTATATAATTATCATTAGGCAGCAACAGGAGACCATTTTGATGTTATCAACATTCCATTCTGTGAACATTACAATTTCTCTGGAACTGTGCAGGCTCAGTCGGATGCACTTGCTTTAGATGGTTTCCTCTTCCGTGCTTCTTTCAAACTCATTGTAGTTTTTAAGAAAATACAGTATTGCCTAAAGGCCAGGACAATTACTACTTTCTCAAAGTATGAGTTCTAAGGTCTATATTTCAATTTTTAATATTGAAGTAAATTAAAGTGACCATTTCTTCTCAAATTTAAGAAGACAAGGAAAAATAAAACCAAATGCTATAATTCCTTCCAAAATAAAGTGCCACTAGGAAAAGTGGCAAAAATAAGTTAAAAGAAAAATAAATTTTAATTATATTTCATCATCATGGCAATGTCTACTTATGTGTTAATAGTTGGATATTGCATATGGGCTTTCTGTCTCCAATGCTCAGTAAATTAAGAGAAATTGAAAAGATAATTTTCCTAAATGATATCAGTACTTGTTTATTTTATCTGAAGAGTTGATGAAGATAACTAAATGAATTTTTCAGTTTTCATCAGTGTGGCATCCTAGAGTGACAAGTGTAATGTAACTTAATTATCATTATGATTAGACTATTATATTAGTTCAAGCCTCATAGTTCTGGGCTATTATAATTGCCTACTAACTCAGCTTTCTGGATTTAGAATATCCCATTACAATCTACTCATGAGTAACCTTCATAAAATAAAAACCTGATGATGTCACACTTCAGACCCTACAAGGATCCCCCATCTCCTTCTACAATATGACAGGGTAATGTTTATGATATAGCACATCTTATTTATTATAATTAGGACATGTCACATGCTTTCATTTGTCTATGCTTTAATTAATGCAATTACCTTTCTCTAGACAGTTTACAACCACGCCCAATTTCTTTCTCACCTGTATTCACTTTTCATGAATCAATCCAGTATTGCCTCCTTTCCATGTTTTCTGTACACAGCCCTCATAGATTTTATCACCTTGTTTGCTTGGTGTATCAGAAGCTGTCAGTGTCCCATGCATGCCCCTCAGAGGATGCATACTCCCTGGTTAACTTCTTATCTACTAGTTTCTGCACTCTGAATGAATGCTCTTATGTCAGAATTGAAGAGAGGTGTCTGCGTGCTTGCACAGGAGGCAGGAAGCAATAAAAATGTGCCCCTCTCCACATCATGGGAGACCAAGAATTCTCAGGATTTAGTGTATGACTTTGTAAGATCCATTACTTCTTAGGATCAGTAGTTCTGGAAAATGTGTTTTGTGCCATTTCACAGAAGTTGCCCTTGGGATGAAGTTCCAGTCCTGCTAATAATCGATGGTTAATAGGAATCCTTTTATTGGCTGCCATCTCTTCTCTGCGTTGCTCGCTTCCTCACTTCCCTATTAGTATTACTTGAACTTCTCAAAAAACTATTTATACCTGAATCTTTGCATCCAGGGTTTTTCTTGTAGAATCCACAGTTAAACTTTTGACATCAGAGGTATTGGGTGGGGTTGTGGTGTTGAATGGCTTACTGGCCACACGGCATCAAGAACCCCTGGCATGTTGTAGCAGCACAATTAATTACCAAGACTCTTGTCATGAATTGAGATTACATAAAGGCAAAAGATGATGTGTGCTTGATGCATTCTCTCCAGGATTTGAGAGATAGTGATAATGATAATGACTGTGGAGTTGGTAGCTGTTATAAGTATTAATGCTATCCAAACTCTAAGGGGAAAAAAACAAACAAAATAAAACTGAGGGGCTTAAACTATCCAATCAAAATGTCAGGACATGGTGTGAAAGTCAGAAGGTCTCTAAGACAGCATTTAGAACCCTCCTTTTTTGGGGTGGTTGGTTAGCTCAGTTGACTAGAACATGGTGCTGATAACACCAAGGTTGCCAGTTCGATCCCTGCATGGGCCACTGTGAGCTGCACTCTCCTAAAAAAAAAAAAAAGAAAGAAAGAAAGAAAGAAAGAAAGAAAGAAAGAAAGAAAGAAAGAAAGAAAGAAAGAAAGAAAGAAAAAACAACCCTCCTTTTTACAAGCAGAGAGACAATTGGGCTGAAAACCAGACCCTTTGTCTGAATGTGAAAGTAACTGACTTGTAGAGAAAGCTTACTTCAAAGCACCAGCAAACCTCCTATTCAAAACTCAAGGCTCTAACAGGAAAGAAGTAGAATCCTGAAACCTCGACTCAAGACTCCCAGGTGACTCATCCCTGGCTGGAAGAGAAGTCTTCCTTGCCGGAAGATCGCATAGATGCCTCATCTAAAGTACTTCAAAATATCTAGACCTTTCTCAAAATGTGCCCTCATCTTTTGGCTTCTAGACTGTTAACTATGTTCAAAACCAAACATGGGCCAACTAAAGAACTACTATCTATGCTTTTTTTTAAAAAAAAGGGCGGGCGGTTTCATCAAAAGAACTATAGAAATTGGCTTACACATCCAGTTGGGCATCAGAACATACCTAGAAAAGAGTATCGTGTATGCTGGACAAAGATTTGTGTGAAATTTAATTAAGATTCATAGTAGATGCTAAAGACATGCTTATATACCAAATTAATTTACATCTAAACATTTGTATTTCGAGGTATGCATTTCTAAATTTGGACTTAATGGTATAGCTAATTATATATTTCTTTAAAAATACTGTATTATTATGCTGGAAAATAAAAATATACCGAGAGGTGCCAAAATATGTATACGAGTACACATGAATTGTATTTATGTTTTGTTATTGGTATATATTACTACAATTTTAATACAGTTTTTTTCCTTTCTTAAAATGTGTATACTTTTTTTTTTGGCACCATCTGTATGTCAAATGAGAGAAGAATACCCTCAAATGAATAAATGCCTAGATTACACAATGGACATAAAATTTAAAACAACAAGCTTAATAAGTTAAATCTAAATAGACATTATACGATCTATAAAAAAAAATTCTTGAAGACTATACAGCACAATGATTGAGAATGAATGTACTTTATTAGACACTAGTCTATACCCATGTGCTCTCGTTGATTGCTTTCAATAATTCTGAGGCTCCATCATTTAACACACATTGCACTTACCGTTACTTGACAGATAAAGGCGTTCGCTTCTTCTTCCACCACAGACACATTTCTAGGCAGATACGGATCAAACATTGGAGCATTGTCATTGACATCTGACACCACCACATTTACTGTGGCAGTTGAGGTCTTAAAGGGGGAAAAAAAAAGATTAAAGGAGTTATTTGTATGTCAGTTAATTGTTCGTTGTGGCATTTGTCTACCTGAAAAACATTTCATTACTATTCACATTCCTTAGTTTTACAAAAAGAAAAAAAGGAAAAAGAAGACGAAGTTTGCAATTTTCAAACACCTCAAAAAACTGATGTAAAAAGCAAATGATCATATTAAAAGGCAAACATCATCCTGAAAATGTCAAGTATTTCCTGAAGGCTTACTTTTAGAAAGTGATTTTACCTTAACTTGGTCACATGTTATGGGTGGCTAGCTTTTGTTTATATAAACATGCACCCCTTTTTCTCTGAAATGTAACATTCCTGTAGTTTTTACAACTTATATTTTTTCACTATTTAAAAATAAAATTAGCACATTATAAAACTTCCCTGTATGTCAAATGGGTTTTTCAGGTAAGCAAATGCTACCAGGAAATACTACATTGGTAATTTTCTAGGTTCACATCTAAACCAAGAATTTGAGGACCACATACACCACTAATTAAATGATTACCTTATGATTATACAGCCTAAGGAAAGGGTAAGTGGGTAAACCTACCGGTAGTGTATGCGATCTTGTTAATAGGTAAACCCCTGTTTCACTGCCACCAGAGAACAGTGTGTAGGTCAATGACTTTTGCACAAAGAACATGTTCATATGCGACCAACAGGAAACTGCTCTCTCTAATTAAAGCCTGAGCACAGCACATGCCCTCCACCCAGCTCTGTCACAATGTAGGGCAGATCACAGAAGGCTGAGGCCAAAATTAGAGAAAGGACCAGACTGGAAAATGGAAAATTCATTATGTTATGATATTAAATATTTAATAACACATAAATACAAAGTAGGAGGAAAACCAGAATGAGACTGCACAAGAGAATTACGCAACATTTGTTTTTAAAAATATAGACATAATTTGACCTAATTTGTAAGTGATGGGAGTGAAAGTCTAAAAAGTTCAGCATTAAGAGGGAGTTAATAGGAAGAGATTTTGCAGCCATGGAGCTGAGAGGTAAAAAACCGGACTTCCCAGCTTACCAAGAAGAGGAGGGCCTGGAAAATTCCCCATCTTTTCTGTTGGGATCAGTGGATTCTACATTCTGTTGACTATTGGTGTATGAGGTCTAGATGGGTCCTTACTTAGATTAAAATCCAACATTTAAACTCTAATTGAAGTAAGATGTCCTACCCCTATTTTAGCAGAAGCAAAAGTCAATCCTCTTTTGATAAATATAACTTTATCACAAGACTTTATTTTTTTTCATATACAATGTTCAGCAGCCATTTAAATATTCCCATATATAGCAGGAAATTCTTGGGTATTGATAATGGCTTATTTGTTTGTGAAAATTCATATAGCTATTCAGAATGATTTGTTATGTATTTCTATATTTAAAAGCCCAATAAAATTGTATTTAAAGAAATGTCAAAGACTATGAAAAGAAACAATCTACGTGACCACCAAGAGTAGATTATTATATAGATTGTGCTTTATACATACAATGGAATAATAATATATACTATTGAGAATGAACAAACTACTGTTAAAATCATCACGTGGGACTACTGTTAAAATCATCACGTGGGTAAATTTCATGAACATAAGATTGGTGCAAGAAGTGCATACTATACGTTTCTTACAACATAATACATACTATATGATTCCAAGTATGTAACTTTGAAGGTAAGAGAAAATCTCTCCATTTGATAAAAGTCTGGATAGGGATAACTTTTGTATAGAAGGTGGAATAGGGACTTGTATGATCATAAGCCTGGGCTTCTGAGGTCTAATTAATCTCTGTTTCTTGTTATGAGTACTGATAATATAGGTGTGTTCACAATGTGAAAATTCATTAAGCTGCACACTTATGGATTGTGAATTCTTCTCTGTGCATATCTCCATGAAAGTATTTAATTTCAAATATGCATTCACATAAACATGTAGAGATAGATGTATGCTAAAATATATATAAATTCAAATGTTATCTGATTATATGAAATACAGATAGTTTTATATTTTCCTTTTAACGTTTATTGATTTTCCAAAGTTCCTCCAAGAAGGCTTACATTGCCTTTGTAACAAAAGGTAGTTTAACAAATGTTATTTTTTCAACAGTTGTGTTAGTTAAAACCAGTAAAAACATGAATTTTTATAGTAGCAGCAGTTCCCAGTTTGCCTGAGGGTGGACAAGATATTAAAATCGACAGCCTCCAGCCAAAATCTAAGAGTTGCCACATCAGAGTTTGCTTATTTTCCTTCAAACTGCTGGACCTTCTCTAAGCTAGCCTATTTGGTTTTCCCTTTCAATTCACTTTATTGGTGTTCATCCTATTTTTCAAAATTCCCAATTATCTTAGTGAATTCTATATGAAATATTCATGTTTCTGGTCTAAATGTAAAGTAATAAACACACACAGCTTACACATTTCTTCAAAAGTTGACTGAAGACCATTTGCATCTGAATCACTTGGTTAGTCATTAAAAATGCAAATGAACCCCTATGTTCACTGCAGCATTATTTATGGTAGCCAAGACATGGAAAAAACCAAAGTATCCTTCAATAGATGATTGGAAAAAGAATATGCGGTATATATATATATATATATATATATATATATATACATACATACACACACACACACACACACACACACACACACTGGAATATTACTCGCCTTAAGAAAAGATGAAATACTACCATTTGTGACAATATGGATGGATCTTGATATTATCATGCTAAGCGAAATAAGTTAGACAGAAAAAGTTGAGAAACATATGACTTCACTCGTATCTGGGATATAAAACTGAAAGCAACAAATTAACAAGACAAATAAGGGAACAAAAACTCATAGACACAGACAACAGTTTAGTGGTTACCAGAGGGTAAGGGGGGAGTGGGTGAGGTAGAAGAGGGTAAAGGGGGTCAAATATATGGTGATGGAAGGAGAACTGACTCTGGGTGGCAAACACACAATGCAGTATATAGATGATGTATTATAGAAATGTACACTTGAAACATATATAATTTTACTAACCAGTGTCTGCCCAATAAATTTAATAAATACATTTTTTTAAAAGGAAATTTTTCTGGGCAACTCATTAGACCTATTGACTCTATTTTTTAAAATCTATTGAAAAATAGTTTAGATTACTCACTTATATGGCATATTATGTATTTATTTGGATTGGTTCAGAAAGATGGCAATGATATGTTGTCTTTATAATTTTTAATCCTTTTTATTAAATTTGTTGGGGTGAGGTTGGTTAATAAAATTATATAGGTTTCAAGTTTGCAATTCTATAATACATCATCTGTATATTGCATTGTGTGTTCATTACCCAAATAATATGAATATATGCCCTATAAAATGTTTTTGTCTTTTATCAATAAGAGACTCTCAGTTAAGTTTAAATACTAGGAAGTCTACTCAGACTATTTTAAGTAAAGTAGATGAACAAAACAGTATATTAGCTAGCACATTTCCACAATTGATTTTAAAAATCAATTTATATTATGCCGATTAAGTAAAAAAGATAAGCTATCAAACTAACAAACCTAACAAAGGAAAAGCTACATGAATTTATTTTACTGCTTATTTTCTCAAAAGTTCTATCAACTTACAATTCTATTCCCTGGTAATATTAGCATTTTAGCACTAAATATAAATTATCACTATAATGGTCATTATTTTAATTATGATATGTCATAGATCTTATTTTGTTTTAAATCATGGATAAATTCTCACAATATATATTTCATTTTCAACAATGCAAGTAGAAATGTCTGTTATAGCAGACAATTTCACTACACATTTATTTATATAAACTGGTATGCCTCTAAAATAAGGATATTAATATAGAATCTTTGATTTGGTATAGTATAAAAATGTCAGTTGTAAAGTCACAGTAAAAAAAAATTGATGTACATTTACCTACAAAAGCATTTTTTAATACATGAGAACATACTTTAACTGTGTTTTATAGTCTTCCTTTATTTTATATTAAGTACTTTGTTGAATCTGTCATGCTAATTTCTTAAATTACTGAAAACTTGGTTTAACTAGAAGATATATAGTATATTCAAAATAGATTCATTTTCCTGTTGCTGAAGAAAAAGGATGACTTTCTATTAATATTAATATATTAATATTATATATTATTTCTATTATTTCTAATAATATTAATTATATTATTTCTAATTAATATTACTATTATATAATATTATTTCTATTATTTCTAATACTATTAATTCTATTATTTCTAATTAATATTAATATGGTTCTAAATTAATATACATACTCATAAAAACAAGCAGAAAAACATGTGTATATGACATATAACTGAGAAATAGAGAATGGAATTGATGCAGCTGCCTCTTTTGTCAATGTGGAAATGTATCCAGATGTGGGTCATATATACTGGGGGTGTCAAAAAAGTATACACATGTATTAATCTTTTGTTATCAGTATATATTATTACAATTTTAATACAGTTTTTTTCCTGTCTTAAACTGTGTACACATTTATACACACTTTAAGACAGAAAAAAACTGTATTAAAATTATAATAATATATACCAATAACAAAAGATGAATTCAAGTCATGTGTATACTTTTTTTTGGCACCCCCAGTACATATGCCTTTTAACATTTTCTATAAACAGGTAATGTTCAAATTAATGTTTATTATTACATTTAAAATTCCTTTTGATAAAAATGGAAAGTTTGGAGTCCGGGACAATGAAGATATGTAGTTTCAGATTTGATTGTTGTTGGTTTTGGCCAATAGGTAAAGGAAAATACATATATTCTGTAATAGGCATACTCTTAGGCAATATCAATCTGAAGGATTTTTATTATTAGCTACAAATCATGCTTATCTATAACATCAAGAGCCAAGCTAGACTGACTCAGATCATAGGGTTTCTTGCATGACGTAGAGAGAATGCCCTCGTCTCCCAGTAAGGCTGACACGGG